CCAATAATAGAACAGAACTGGTTATCAATAATGGGCCAGAACTGGTTACCAATAATGGGCCAGAACTGGTAACCTATAATGGGCCAGAACTGGTAATCAATAATGGGCCAGAACTGGTTATCAATAATGGGCCAGAACTGGTTATCAATAATGGGCCAGAACTGGTAACCAATAATGGGCCAGAACTGGTAATCAATAATGGGCCAGAACTGGTAACCAATAATGGGCCAGAACTGGTAACCAACAATGGGCCAGAACTGGTAACTAACAATGGGCCAGAACTGGTAATCAATAATGGGCCAGAACTGGTAACCAATAATAGAATAGAACTGGTTATCAATAATGGGCCAGAACTGGTTACCAATAATAGAACAGAACTCGTTATCAATAATGGGCCAGAACTGGTTACCAATAATGGGCCAGAACTGGTAACCAATAATGGGCCAGAACTGGTAACCAATAATGGGCCAGAACTGGTAACCAACAATGGGCCAGAACTGGTAACCAATAATGGGCTAGAACTGGTAACCAATAATGGGCCAGAACTGGTAACCAACAATGGGCCAGAACTGGTAACTAACAATGGGCCAGAACTGGTAACTAACAATGGAGTAGAACTCATGGTTTGTAATCAATAATAGCCATTGGTGGTAAAAGTGGGATATTTTGTTGTAAACAAGTCTTAACATAAATCGCCACTATTAACTGGCAAGGCTTTAGCGGAAGCCCAGTATAAAATAAGTTAGGGTGTGTCCCACAATTTATTTATACACTCTGTTGTGACTTCAAGTGGAAACAGTTTCTGACATTGATTTATTCGCATTCCTTCTCATATTATTTAGTGCATTTTATAACTCATTGTGGTGAAAATTCTTCTCTAGTTATTAATGCAGTTTGACTTGATTGTTTCATTGCAGGTTATGGATTGCTTTATTACGGTGTTTATTGCGGTGAACTAGTACATATAGTCTGATGTGTACAGTCAAGAAATACAAGACATTCTTGTTCTTTTTGTGAAAAGACTGAGACATGAATAATAAATATAAATGTCTTGCAGGAAAAAATAATGAATTTGGTAAAATTTAACTAGCCATATTCGTACCAATTCTCCGTAGTTAAAGTGTCAAACTTGACGTAAGACCAAAAAAAAAATTGTTTTGTTGCCCTTAGTGACTGACTGAAAAATGTGGTTTGTTTTTTTTAAAAGGCCCAAAACTCATCATTTTAAGCAGTAAAAAAGTGTTTCCTCTAAAAATTAACAATCCCGGACTGTTGTTGATCCCCAGGGGTCCCGGGGGGGGGGGGGGGGGATAAGTGGTGACTTTGAACTTTGGGTTGATCTGCATTTAAATACAAAAGACTGAAAGAAACACTTACAATATCGGCATTTGTTTACACGATACTATTTCTCCTTTGATATTTTAAAGAGCGTTGGTTGTCGCGCAGCGCATGCTTGAATTATGCTGAAAAAACATTGTATTTTATACCTGTTGTATACTTTGTATGAGACCCATATCAAACATCATATGATAATCACCATTATTTTAAGGTTAGAACTATATTTTTGGATGATGTGTGTGTTTGTAGTATACATTTACTAGATGTTAAGTTTACACATGTTGTGAGAGAAATATTCGGAGCTTGTAGAAAACCATGTAGTTACTGCTATGATGCGTTTGCTTTGGCTAAAAAACAGTGTGCTTCTAATAGGGCTGATTATTTTAAGGAAATTAAAAAATTAAAAAAAAATTAAAAACATTAAATCCCCAAAATTGAAGTTGTGTCAGCTTATTGTCTGCTAGGGAGATATGTCTTCATAAAATCAAATGTACGGTATATGACTGTATAGTATGTTGTGGCCCTGATTTCCTTTGTTTTACAATTATTTTGGTTTATAAA